AGCTTGGATTGCACGTTCTGCCTCGTCGAATGTGCTCTTCCACGCAAGAGAAGCTTTTACGTGCTCTCCGAACAAAATAGTGGCAACCCTTAGGTGTATAATCTGGGCGTTGCAGAGTTTACGGGATCTTCGACTCACAGAGGTTACAATAGCCATTGAGGGACGAGAGGTGTTTGAAGCAATTCGAAAACCAACTACGTGGCCAAGGTATCGATTCTTACTGGATCACATACAGAGATTGAGTTTGAGTTTCTCATCTTGTTACTTTGAAGAGGAGCACTATTTAACGAACTCTATTGCCAGAGAGATTGCTAAGAGTGTATCTGGGGACAGTCGTTTCCAGTCTTACTTAGCGCGTAGCGGTCCATCTTGGTTACACGAGCGAATCCAACATGAAATGACAGGAAGAGGATGAAGCGCCAAGATCCCCTTGTCCACTTTTGCTTTCTAGAATACATGTTCTCCACATATAGATAATCCTTATTTAGGATTTTGATGTCTGGTTTATTTGACTTTGTTTGCTCAGTTGATCGAGAGCTTTCATCCTACCTTTGTCACTTCGTAATGAATTCAGACGTTCAAAAAAAAAATAGGTGAGAAACGGTACGTTTCTTATTTTCTTTCCTTTTCATTAATATTTTAATGTTTAGTACTTCTGTAATCGAGTGATTGACTATTTGCAATTAGTGATTTTAATCTCCAAGTATTGTTTGCACAGAATAATTCCCCACACTGTAGTTGACTTTGCAAAATTGGGCTTTAAATAGTCAGACGTTAACTCCAAAACGAAGTCCGTTAAAAATAATTATTTTCTCATCGGAAGTTCCTATTCTAAACCCAAAATTGAAAACCTAAAACGTAGTCCGACTTTTGCGATCCTGAAGCTTTTCAAGCTTTAACAATGGTGAAAACTATGTGGAAAAGAGGAGGGAGACGGAAACTTCCGATTCGAAGGGATACAGAGCCAGAACCAGCAGAAGAAATCGATCCTGCACCAGAAATTCATCCTGCAGAAGAAATCGATCCTCAACCAGAAATCGTACTTCAACCCAAAATCAACCCTGTTCAGGAAAGGTAATGTCGAATTTTAGCTTCTGATTATTGAAAATTTCGAATTTATCTTTTGATTTTTTGGAATGTCAAACTTAGCTTATGATTTTTAGAAAACTTTGGCTGCTTGTTTGTAGGATAAATGATGATGAAGTAAATATAGAAGAAAGAACTAATGTCCGTTTAGAAGAAAGAGATATTATTGGTGAAGAAGAGAAAGATACTAGTGGTGAAGAAGAAACAGTGGAATCAGACGATAATGCATCAGTCCAAGGAGATGATTGCCCTGCTATTAATGAAGATGCAGCTGGATATAGAGAGACTGAGCCAGGATTAGCTGAAAATTCAGAGTTGGGTAATGATAATGCATTTGTGAATGTTGAAAAATGTGATGATGATGTTCTGTTTTCACATTTTCGAGATGCTGGTCGTGAAGATGAAGTTGGAGATAATGATGATAGTGGTGATGATATTTGGAATGATGATATAATTCCTGATCCATTATCAGATGATGATGGCGAGAAATTAGAGGGTAGGATGCAATTCAATTGTCGGCCGGATGAGATCTTAGCACTAGGGAAGTGCTTCAACAATGTTGATGAATTCAAGTATGCACTCCTCACATATTCTCTAAAAACTCAGTACGATATCAAAATGTATAAGTCATCTAGTGATAGACTTGGTGCAAAGTGCACACAGCATATTGAAGAAAAGTGTCCTTGGAGAGTGTATTGTTCTTTTGAAAAGAGCAGGAACAAGTTGATGATAAAAGTCTTTGTAGATGAGCATATTTGTGTAAGGTCGGGAACCACAATGTTATTGAAGAGTGGTACCATTGCTCAACTATTTGAAGAAAGGCTCAGAGTTAATCCAAAGATCAAGTCGCAAGAGATGGTCGATGAAATCAAGAGAGAGTACAATATGATTGTCAGTGCACCTCAGTGTAGAAGAGCAAAGACTGTGCTTAGAGCAAAAAGAAAGGCTACTCATGAATTTCATTTTGCTAGACTTTGGGATTATCAAGAAGAAGTAAGAACATCTAACCCAGGTTCAACAATGGAGATTGAGACGATTCCCGGGCCAGTGCCTGGAAGCAAACAAAGATTCTCCCGTCTCTATGTTTGTTTTGCAGCGTTGAAAGTTGCTTGGAAGAAGTCATGCAGGCCTATAATTGGATTAGATGCAGCATTTATGAAATGGGATATCAAAGGCCAAATGTTAGGCGCTGTTGGAAGGGATGGTGATAATAGAATCTTTTCTATTGCTTGGGCCGTGGTTGAGGTGGAAGATGGTCCTAACTGGTTGTGGTTTGTGCAACTTTTGAAAAAAGATTTGGGACTTGAAGATGGAGATAACATTACAATTGTCTCGGATAAACATCAGGTGTGTGTTACAAGTGTGTTTTTTAGCGTTAATTTGTTTATCATAGTTTCTTATTTTGTTTGATTTATGTGACAGGGTTTACTAAGTTCTGTTCACGCTGAGCTTCCTAAAGCTGAGCATAGAATGTGTGCTCGACACATTCTGCAAAACTGGAAGAAGATCAACAAGGAAATAGAGCTTGAGCGTATGTTCTGGAAAATTGCAAGGAGCTATACACCTGAGGCATTTGGGGATAACTTAGAAGCATTGAAGAAATACAACTTAGGTGCTTATGATTCTCTCCAATGTACTGCACCAACAACATGGACTCGGGCTTTCTTCAAGGTAGGATCTTGTTGCAATGACAATCTCAACAATTTGTCTGAATCTTTCAATCGTAATGTCAAAGAGTCAAGGAGGAAGCCATTACTTGATTTCTTGACTGAGGTAAGAAGGAAAGTAATGGAGAGGAATGCAAGTAGAAACATATTAACCAAAAGGTGGAAGAAAAGGTTCACACCAAGAGCAGACAGAGAGATTGAAAGCAATCGACAAAAAGCTAAGGATTGCAAAAGATACAGAACTACAGGAAATATGCATGAGATCGACTTTCATGGAGATGCTTGGAGGGTTGATATGGATCAGAAAACTTGTGGTTGTGGTTATTGGCAGTTGAATGGCATACCTTGTATGCATGCTATGTGTGTCATCACAAACACAAAGTTAAATCTCAATGACTATGTCTTTGATTACTACTTGACTTCAAAGTGGCGTGATTTGTATGTCGAGGGTATGAAGCCAGTCCAAGGCATGAAAGCATGGAGAAAGTTGGGGAGATTACCTATTTTACCACCACCATCACGATCCAACCATGGAAGACCTCATGGTCGATCTAGGATAAAAGGTCCTCAAGAGTCTTCTTCTAATCCATTTGTTTCGAACTTACATATAAGACTTGCTTTCTTTTCTTTATCAAATTCAGACAATTTCAATCAGCTTTTATGTTTGTTCTTCTGTTTTCGAATGTTATCTTTATTGTATTGAACCTATGAAAATGTTTTAGCTTGATTAAAATCTGTTCTTCAGCTTGTAAATTTATCATAAACAAGAGTACAACTATTTGTTTTATCTTACAAAGAGAGAAAGATAGCCAAATACAATCATTGTCTTACCTTACAAATAGAGAAAGAGAGAACGAGAGAGAAAGAGAGAACGAGAGCAACATATAATCAATTGTCTTGCATTACAAAGAGAGAAATAGAGAAAGAGAGCCAGATACATTCACTTGTTACCAAATACAAGTGTGTTTCCATCAACTTTTTGAAACATGATGTGGTAGATGATAACAATAGCTAAAACACACAAACAAAGAACAAGCACAACCATGTTCTTGACTTTGATGTTTCACAGCTCACTTTTGCATTGTTGAACTTCTTCTTTCACATTTAAGATCTCACCCATCAATTCGTTCACTTCAACCTCAGATTCTCTTCTATTTTGTTTCAAATCTTTAACTTCTTCATACATCACATCTTCCACCCACTTAAACAAGTGTCCAGGCTAAACAAATTCCATCAATTGTTACAATTCCATCAATTTCCACTCATGAAGAATCTAATAAGAATCAAGTTAGTAGCTTACCTTTCGAGAAACACTACAACGAAAGTATGGACGTCCGGGATTGTCGATTGACTGTGATGTGTATATCGTGACATCACTTCCACATACACATTTTGTGGGAAATTCCTTTTCCACATTCAAGAACACATTGTTGGAAGAACTCCCAAATTCTTTTCTACCATTGGAACCTATCTCCTCCTACACTCACATGGTTTCAGTCCCACTCTCAAATTTATACTCTAGTTACTTAAATTCAAAATGAATAATAAATCAAGGAAATGGATTTACTTACAGATTTCGACTGTGAAGCCGTTGGAAAGATTTCTGGGCAAGGATTTCGATTTTTCGTGAAGTTCATCAATTTGGTGGTGGAATTCGAGATTGATTTTGAAAATCACCTTTGTCGATCTAGGGTTCAGAATTGGGGAAAACTAAGAACTTGTAAGAAAAAGCCGAAGCCGATGAATATAAAGAAATCCCGACGACAAACTTTTTATTTTTAACGGACTAAGGTTTTGAAGTTAACGTCTGACTATTTAAATCCCAATTTTGTAAAGTCAACTGCAGTGTGGGGAATTATTCTACGCAAGTAATACTTAGAGATTAAAATCACTGATTTCAAATAGTTGAGGAATAAAATGAGCATTTTCCCCCATTCCTCCATATTTTTCGCGCGCTTCTATGGAGAGAAAGGAAATGGGTCTCACCACCATCTCCGCACGGTACTACTAAATGTATACAGATAAAGATTCTCAATTTTCACCAAAGAAACTACCAATTTTAACTTGATTGATTGAGAAAGTTTAGGGCACTAATAACAAAAAAAACTTGGCTGACTCATACAATTTTAGGTAACAGAAAGTACTAGAAGCATGCCTTAATATTATTAGCTACAACATTTTCTGAAATATAGAAGAACCATTAGCTGATTTCTTTTAGTTTATTCTTATCTGATATTTCTTAAGCTTTTAGCCTCGAACCGACATAAGTGGGATGCTCTGCTCGTGTCTAAAGAAGTTCTCTGGATCAACTTTTGATTTAATCTTCATCAATCTGTTGAAATTGCCTTTGAAGTACTTAGCTCCCCAGGCTTGAGCTTGTTTCATGCTCGCGTATTTCTTGTTCTTCCCAAGATCTAGGTCACGGTAGTTCACGTAGGCTTGTCGTGGGTTGCTTGAGACATACGGCGTCATGAAACTGTAGAGATCTCTGATCCAGTTGATGTGTCTGGTCGATGTCTTGTCGCTGTCTGGCCAACTCGTTACGTACTGAATCTTGAAGATGACCCCTTTTCTATGCGGAAATGGGATTTGAGACTCAGGGATTTTTGCCATCATTCCACCGTAAGGATTCCATATCATCATTGGAATATCTTCTTTAAGCAACTTTTTGAAGATTTCTTTAAGCCCTGATTCCGGAATCGGCTTCTTCACGAAATCGGATTTCGCTTTGAAACCATTCTTAGGGAAAGGAGACTTCCCTTGAAGCAAAACATTAGTAGGAGTGTGGCTCGAGAATCCGGAGATGTAAACAATGGATTCAAGCCAGCTCATTTCGACGCAATCTTTCAGTGTTAGACCTAACTCAGGAAACCCCTTCTTCATAACTTTCATCAACGCGCCTTTGTTGCCAAGAAACACAGAATTGTACGACGTAGTCGCAGTCTTGCTTCCATTGTTTGCAGCTACGTTGAAGATCACTCTGATGAATAGCTCATCAACGAGCTTGTCCGCGACCATTTGCCACTTTGAAAGAATCTTGTTCCCCACGTCTTGTTCTAACGTTTTTGTGACGGTGAAGACGGTGACGGTCTTGGGAACAGGAACAAGCTTGATCTTCCACGCAAGAATGACCCCGAAACTCCCTCCCGCGCCTCCACGAATCGCCCAAAACGTATCCTCTCCCATCGCTTTTCTGTCGAGTATTTTACCGTTTGCGTCAACGATCTTTGCGTCAAGAACGTTATCTGCACCAAGACCGTATTTCCTCATCATGGAACCGTATGCACCGCCTGTTATGTGCCCACCTACGCCTAAACTCGAGCACAAACCCGCCGGAAACCCATGGACTCTGCTCTTCTCTGCAATCCTACAAGTAGCAAAAACAGTTTCTTGAACAAAAAAAATTGAAAAAAAAAAAAACAGTTTGTTGATAAAAATATACAATCAAAGATTCATTGTACAAGATTGTTTCGTTTGGTCTTTATTGCCTATACTTTATATACCTGTAATAAAGTTCACCAACGGTAGCACCAGCTTGAACCCAAGCACTATTGTCTTTGATATTGATGTTGACTTGTCTTAGCTTCGACAGGTCCATCACTATAAACGGTCTCTCCATCTCCGAGACATAAGACAAGCCTTCGTAGTCGTGACCGCCGCTTCTGACACGAAAATGAATTCCGAGTTTCTTGGAACAGAGGATGGAAGCTTGGACGTGAGACTCATGGAGCGGTTTGAATATGAATCCCGGTTTAGGCATGTTTTTGGTCAAGTACCGGAGATTCTGAGCCGTCGATTCTAGGACTTCGCTGAACATAGAGACGTTTTTGGCAGGTGCGAAAAACGTATTTTCGAGTGGGAAGTAAACATGTGTGTTTTTGTGGAGACAGTTGATAAATTGATCTTGGAGGGAAGCTGAAGAAGTTGGTGTTATGGTGTAGAATGAAAAATATAAGGCTAAAACCGAAAGAAATGAAAGTAAAGGGGATGGTTTAGAAATTCCCATTGTTTCTGTGAGGAAGGTCTGCTCTATTGGTTGCTACTCTTTGTTTGATCCCAACAGCATCTGCAAAATTCTGTCTATAAATAGACCAAAAAAATCTAAACCTTTTTACACGCTCTCATTAAAGTTTCCACAAATGTAAAACCTTTTGTTTCTTCTATATGAAAATTATTGCCCAAAGGCCTAAATTTATATGATAAAGTAGTCACTTTGATTACCAAAGTTGAATGAAGTCAAAAATTTCATCATGGCGTTGTTGATTTTTATTATACCACTTTGAACTCAGTGCCGATTTAAAGTTTTAAAGTACAAAAAAAAAAAAATTACTCTTAAGAGACTTACCAACTTGACCAAAGTTAGTTACGTTTCACGGTGGAGACGACGACGACTGAGACTGAGGAACATTTAAGTGTGTGAGTCAAGAACTTAGAAATATGAATTTGCTCGTTGATTTTTAAAGGTCAATGACGACGAGTGTGAGACAACAAAAATTATCAAATGACGTGACTGTGACGTTACGTGACGTGACAGACATTTTTGTTCTCTTGTGTTTGAAAAACGTTGCAGTTTGTGTTTGTAGAAAACTGGAAGTTTAGGTGGCAAGATATTCGTGAATCTGAAAAATCCCGACAACAGTTTCAAAATTTAGACCAAAATTAAAGTAAATATTAAAAGTTCGTAATCTTATTATTTATATAAAAATCCAGTAATTGTACAAGTCTTTTTTCAGGTGAAAAACAGTAATTGTAAGTGAAATTAAAATATGTTAATGGTGTAGATCAGATCGGATATATCTGTTTGAACATTAAATTGTTTTCTTTTACGGATTTTTAAGTACTAACTATATATTCAAGCTGATGCAGATTATGAGTTATAAGATTTTTTTTATATATAACTTGAAAATGATTCAAACTTTTAACATCCACTAATTTATTATGAATCTAAAATATCACACTTCTCCGACAGATCCAAAGAAAAGAGAAAGTTTACAGTAAAAAACTAAAGCCAAGAAGAATCAAATTTACATCACCAATCGTTTAAAAATTCTTTTTCTTTCGAGATCAATTATTTTCAAAACGAACACAAGAGACAAAATTTTCTTCGCCGTAGTTGGTCAAAATCCCATATACCAATACGATCTTGTTCTGTTAGGTTGGGTTAGGTAAGGTTGACTTATATAAATGAGATGTAGAAAAATTAGGTTCTTCAATCCATATAGAATCCATCAATCTCGGTCCAACCCACCAAATTCGTCAATTTGTTTTCATCTGATGGTTTACTGTGGACCGTTTTTGCATTACCAGACATGTACGCTAAAAAAATTGGACTTAGATCAAAACAATACACGTTCACGCAGTCACACAGGTCATGATCTATTACGATCACATGGATCAGTCCACTGCAAACGTTTTCAAATCATTTAGTCCTAATTAGATATGTCAATTTAGTTGCCATAAAAGAAGAAGATATGTCATTTAAGAACCATGCTCAGATATTAGCACGACACTATATTTGAATAAAGAAAACAAAATTAGAATCGGACATTTAACTTCTATTTATTATTTGAGAAGCATGTTTACTAAAAAAATCCCATGTGTCAACACCTAATGAAAAGTTAGTGTAAAACAATGCCATATCATAAATGTGACATGACAAATTTCATAAAATAAACGAAAGTTTTGATTGGTTAAGTTAAAACTAAATAAATCTCATTTTTAAATAAGAAAAAATTTTATATCTTATGTGAATGAATTTTCATTATATAGCAAAAATTCGAAATTATAAATGAAACAAAAAAATAAATAAAGAGAAAAATAAATTATAAATATCCTCTTAGCCAATTTTTTTTATTATAATAGTGTATATATGAATAAAAAGTAGATGTAAAAGTAAAAATGAATCTTTACGACTTTGGTTTTATATACAAATCTCAGGTTATATTTTTGATTTAAAGCATCTCCAACTCACTTTCATTTTAAATATTCTAATTTAGAGAAAAAAGAAAGGTTGTTACTTTTGTCAACTATAGAAGAAAAAATAATAATCTTTCTTTTTCTGTAAAATAGAAATAAGTTGGAGAGAAGTCCACTTATATTTTAGAGAAAAAATAAAAAAATACATTTGATATGATCTTAATGTTAAATATATTATTAAATGTTAAAAAATATGAGTCAAAGAAGAGAAGAAATAATAAGAATAGTTTTGACCGATTTTATGTTTTTATTTCAAATGCTTAAAAATATTATCTTACACATATTAATTATTTCATGCATATATTTTTCCAATATATTAAAACATTATTTCATGAATCAAACTTTTGTATATGTTGTGATCCATTATATTTTGTATTAACAAATATATTAAAGTTAGGAACAGATCAACTCTTAATTTTTAATATAACAATCAAATATTAAATATATTATTTTACACTTTAAATCATACATAAATAAGTTTAGATCTGATTGGCTAAAACGATTATGTTACAGAGAGTTTGTGGAGGCAGGTGATTGCAGATTATTAAATCTTTTAACGAAGAGATGAGCGGAGAGCTACTAGAGAATTTTATAAAATATGATTTCACAAATTTTATAATAAATATTGATTATATTTTTATTGAGAAACCATATATCTTAAAATGCTGAAAATAAGAAATTCTGATAAAATACAAAACGATAGAAACGGTTTTCGTGATTGTTGTTAAACGCCAATAACTGCATCGCATAAAAACATAATGTTTACAAAAAATATCAAAAAACTTACCAACACCTAAATATTACAATTCACTTGTTTCTAACTCATACCTAAATGCATAAATATAATTTTTATTTTAAAAAAATCAACCATACGTTATAAAAATATATATTACAAAACATATACTTTGTTATTTTATTTTAACACATAAAAGCTACACTTCGATTTTTTTTACAAATGTGCGTGTAGATATAAATATTAATTGTGTAAAAGTTAAACTTGCATGCAAATTTGTCGTGCATACATTTTGTTAACCTCGATTACACTCTAATTTTAATTTTAGTTGTTAGACAATTTATCTTTTTTTTAAAAAAATCTTTATATGTCCTAAGAGCGGTGAGGTGGTTGGTTCGCACGAAAGTGCGGATTAACCATCTATCCGTTCTTAGGATAAGTAAATATGGTAAAATTCATTTTGGTTTAATTAGTGAGAGATCAAGGAAAAAAATACTTAATATATATATATATATATATATATATATTGGTAAGATTATATTGTGTAAGGAGGAAAAGAAACTATAGTATAGATAATATTCAAAACATATTATAAAAATTTAACTATTATTTAATATAACTTTTATATTTACAATTATTAGTTAATATAAATGCGAGAAAAAATAAATTTTTTTCAAAAGACACAAAGAAATTTCCATTATTTTCCAATTTAAAAAGAAAAACAATATGCGGTAATCATATGTTTGGGCTCTGTCGACTGTCCAGTGTCCATCCACTAGATCGCTTATAATTTGATTACCTTTCTTTTTAAATACTATTTTACATTTTTACTAGTTTTATTATAAATTATTTATAAATAAATCAAACATGCGTTTTACGAATTAATGAACCGTATATATATAGAACATTTCCTAAACTCTTTGAACAATACTAAAACATTCTATTTAGAAAACGTAAAATCTGAAATTTCATTACAAAAACAGTAGAACTGTAGAAGCTTTAGATACAAATGAGATTAAAGAAAAAATTTCAAATTTAAATAAACTATTTGAAAAAGAAATATGTTCTGATTTACCAACAGCTTTTTGGAATTGTAAACAATACATTGTTGATTTACCATATGAAGAAAATTTTAATGAAAAAGAAATTCCAATAAAAGCTTGCACAATACAGATGAACTATGAATTAGAAACTCACTATAGAAAAGAAATTTCAAATATTCTAGCCAATGGCTTAATTTCAAAATCAAGATCACCTTGGTCTTGTGCTGTTTTTTATGTTAATAAAAATTCTGAAATTGAGAGAGACACATCGAAGTCAGTAATCAATAACAAATTTCTAAACAATGCTTTAAAATAAATTCGATATCTAATATTTTACACTGCACACATATATTTAAAATTTGACCTAAAATCAGAATTTTGACAAAATTCAAGTTTCAGAAAATGACCGATATAAAACATTATTTACAGTTTTTTTTTATCAATACCAATGGAACGTAGTGCTCTTTGATTTAAAAAATGCAGCTTCTGAATTTCCAAGAATCATTAACAACATTTTTTCTGAGTATTCAAAAATTTGTATTGTCTATATTGATGATATATATTTTTTTCTTCAAATTCTCTTGATGAAAATTTTAAACATCTTAAAACATTTTATTATGTTGTAAGAATGGTCTTGTTGTGTCAAAATCAAAAATGTCTTTATTTAAAACCAAGATCCGATTTCCAGGTCATTACATATCGCAAGGTATAATAACTCCTATAGAAAGGTCTTTAGAATTTGCAAACAAATTTCCAGACAAGATTTTAGATAAAACTCAATTACAAAGATTCCTTGGCAGTCTCAGTTATGTTCTAGATTTATTTCCAAACATGAATGGGATGGCTAAGCCATTACATGATCGTTTAAAGAGAAACCCAGTCCCTTGGACAAAAGAACATATAACAATTGTCTAACAAATCTAAAAAATGTCTTAGAAATCCCTTGTCTGCATATAGCAGATCCGGATTTAGATAAAGTCGTAGAAACTGATGCATCAGATTTAAGATATGGTGGGATACTTAAACCAAAAAAAAAAACGGCCGAGAGAGTATAGTTCAATTTACGTCTTCACATTGGAATGATACTCAAAGGAACTACTCTACTATTAAAAAAGATTTTAAGTATTGTATTATGTATACAAACTTTTATAAGTGATTTACTAAATAAAAAATTTATATTACGAATTGATTGTAAAAGCGCTAAGGATATTTTACAAAAAGACGTAAAATTTTGCCTCCAAACAGATTTTTGCATGATGACAAGCAATATTAAGTATTTTTGATTTTAAAATAGAATATATTAAAGGAGATTTAAACTCTATTCCTGATTTCTTGACACGAGACGTTCTCCAAAACAGGTACAATGCCTCTAAAGAAGATTGATAAAGGTAAATGCATTTTCTTGGAACCAATCCCAGAAAAACCATTCCTTCAAACACAAACCCACAACCAAAAAATGAACCTTGGATCTCTGTTACAAAAAAGAGTGTAAAAAAAGAAGACATACCAAACACCCCAAAATCTCTTTAATCTCCGCTTGTATAATTTTACATAATCTACTTTCGTTTCCTTATGGTATCAGAGTCATGTTTGTGATTAGGGAGAGTGATGCAGCATGATATTTGGAATATTTTCAAATATCTTAAATATCTTTATTATTTACTTATTTGTGTATTTAGATAATTAT